TATGCTAATGAGATGGTAATGAGGGGCGCAGTCGCTGCAGATCGCGGCGTTCCTGTTCACCGTGTGCCACGTGGTGCTGCTGGTGCAGGACTGGTTCACCGACCTGGCGCTCTACAGGTGCGCGGGGACGCGGGACGGGCGCGGGAAGGACACGGGAATGACACGGGAAGGGCACGGGAATGACATGGGAGTGACACGGGAATGACATGGGAGTGGCACGGGAAGGACACGGGAATGACATGGGAATGACATGGGAGTGGCACGGGAGTGACATGGGAGTGACACGGGAGTGACACGGGAGTGACACGGGAATGACATGGGAATGATATGGGAGTGACACGGGAGTGACATGGGAATGACACGGGAATGACATGGGAGTGACACGGGAGTGACATGGGAATGACATGTGAATGACATGCAAATGACATGGGAATGACACGGGAATGACACGGGAAGGGCACGGGAAGGGCACGGGAGTGACATGCGAATGACACGGGAATGACACGGGAAGGGCAGGGAATGATATGGGAGTGACATGGGAGTGACATGGGAATGACATGGGAATGACATGGGAATGACATGGGAATGACATGGGAATGACATGGGAATGACATGGGAATGACATGGGAATGACATGGGAATGACATGGGAATGACACGGGAAGGACACGGGAGTGACATGGAAATGACATGGGAGTGACATGGGAATGATATGGGAATGACACGGGAATGGCACGGGAATGACACGGGAATGACACGGGAATGACATGGGAGTGGCACGGGAAGGACATGGGAATGATATGGGAATGGCATGGAATTTATATGGAAATGATATGGAAATTATATGGAAATGAACCCAAAAATGGCACAAAATGATCCTAAAAATGACATAAAAGTGGCACAAAAATGGCTCAAAAATGGCACAAAATTACCCCAAAAATGGTGCAAAAATGACCCGAAAAATGGCATAAAAGTGGCACAAAAATAATCACAAAAATGGCACAAAAATGGCACAAAAATTACCCCAAAAATGGCACAAAAATGGCATAACATTATCCCAAAAATGGGGCATAAATGACCCGAAAAATGGCACAAAAATGGCGCAAAAATCGCACAAAATTACCCCAAAAATGGTGCAAAAAAGACCCCAAAAATGGCACAAAATTACCCCAAAAATGGTGCAAAAATGACCCCAAAAATGACATAAAAGTGGCACAAAAATGGCACAAAAATGGCATAAAAATGGCACCAAAATGGCACAAAATTATCCCAAAAATGACATAAAAATGGCCAAAAAATGGCACAAAATGACCCCAAAAATGGCGCAAAAATGACCTGAAAAATGGCACAAAAATGGCACAAAATGACCCCAAAAATGGCGCAAAAATGACCCCAAAAATGACATAAAAGTGGCACAAAAATGGCTCAAAAATGGCTCAAAATGGTCACAGAAATGGCACAAAAATTATCCCAAAAATGGCACAAAATTATCCCAAAAATGACACAAAAATGGCATAAAAATGGCACAAAAATGGCTCAAAAATGGCACAAAAATGGCAAAAAATTACCCCAAAAATGACATAAAATGAACCCAAAAATGGCGGGGTCCTAGATAAATTTTGGGGGGATTTGGGGGGTCCCTGGAGGGGTTTGGGGGGTCCCGGGTGGATTTTGGGTGGAGTTTGGGGGCATTTGGGGGATTTTGGGGAGGATTTGGGGGGTCCTGGGTGGAGTTTGGGGGAATTTTAGGGGGTCCCAGGTGAATTTTGGCTGATTTTTGTCCATTTTTGGTCAATTTTGGGTGAATTTTGTCCGTTTTTGATACATTTTGGGGTGAATTTCGGGTGAATTTTGTGTGACTTTCGTCCATTTTGGGGTGAATTTTGAGCTGATTTTAGGGATAAATTTGGGCTGGGATTTTGGGGGGATTTGGGGGCATTTTGAGGGATTTCTGGGGGGATTTGGAGGGTCCTGGGGGGGATTTTGGAGTAAATTCTGAGGTAATTTTGGGATAAATTTGGGCTGATTTTGGGGTGAATTTTGTCCATTTTGGGGTGATTTTTGTCCATTGGAGTTTGGGGGAATTTTAGGGGGTCCCAGGTGAATTTTGGCTGATTTTTGTCCATTTTTGGTCAATTTTGGGTGAATTTTGTCCGTTTTTGATACATTTTGGGGTGAATTTCGGGTGAATTTTGTGTGACTTTCGTCCATTTTGGGGTGAATTTTGAGCTGATTTTAGGGATAAATTTGGGCTGATTTTGGCTCAATTCTGGGGTGAATTTTGGGTGATTTTTATCCATTTTGGGTGAATTTTGTCTGTTTTTGGTGTATTTTGGGTGATTTGGGGCTGAATTTTGGGTACATTTTCTCCATGTTTGGTCAATTTTGGGTGATTTTTGTCCATTTTTGGTTGATTTTGTGTGGATTTCTGTCCATTTTGGATTGAATTTGGGGTGAATTTTGTCCATTTTTGGTCAATTTTGGGGTGAATTTTGTCCATTTTTGGTCAATTTTGGGGTGAATTTTTGGGTGATTTTTGTCCATTTTTGGTGTGAATTTTGTCCATTTTTGGTATATTCTGAGTGAATTTCGTCCATTTTGGATTGAATTTTGGGTGATTTTTGTCCATTTTGGGTGAATTTTGAGCTGATTTTAGGGATAAATTTGGGCTGATTTTTGGGCTGAATTTCTCCATTTTTGGTCAATTTTGTCCATTTTTGCCCCCCCAGGCTCGCTGTCGATGCGGGAGCTGCTCCCCTCCCCCCCGGGGTGAATTTTGGGTGATTTTTGTCCAGTTTGGGGGTGAATTTTGTCCATTTTTGGTATATTTTGGATATTTTTGGGGTGAATTTTTGGTAAATTTGGGCTGAATTTTGGGTGAATTTCAGGTGATTTTGGCCAATTTTGGGTTTTTTGCCCCCCAGGCTCGCTGTCCATGCGGGAGCTGCTCCCCTCCCCCACCCTGGGATATTTTTGGGGTGATTTTTGTCCATTTTTGGGGTGAATTTTGAGCTGATTTTAGGGATAAATGTGGGCTGATTTTTGGGCTGAATTCCTCCATTTTTTGCCAATTTTGGGTTTTTTGCCCCCCCAGGCTCGCTGTCCATGCGGGAGCTGCTCCCCTCCCCCACCCTGGGATATTTTTGGGGTGATTTTTGTCCATTTTTGGGGTGAATTTTGAGCTGATTTTAGGGATAAATGTGGGCTGATTTTTGGGGTGAATTCGTCCATTTTTGGCCAATTTTGGGTTTTTTTGCCCTTTTTGCCCCCCCAGGCTCGCTGTCGATG